TCTCTCTCTCTCTCTCTCTCTCTCTCTCTCTCTCTCTGCTCTGAGAGCTACAGGTAAGATGGTGTGGTGGAAACTTGTCTATCAGCTCATGGTATTATTCTGATTCCTTATGCCTGAGACAAAATTTCTTGTCAGATACATTTCACAAGAAATATATAGACAGGAACAAGAACATAAAGATGGATTAAGCACTCACATGGAAATTCCTAAATAGCAATAGCACGTAGACTTATTTACTGCTTTACAGCCCTCTCTAAGTGGTTTACCGAGTCAGCATATTGCCCCCAACAATCTCTTGCCCTCATTTTACTGACCTCAGAAGGATGGAAGGCTGAGTAAACCTCGAACCAGTGAGAATCGAACTGCTGGCAGTCAGCAGAATCAGCCTGCAATACTGCATTCTAACCACTGGGCCATCACGGCTTTTTCCAACTGTTTCCCCAACCCTAGAGAATGAAATCTTTCTACATGCAGATACTCACCTTTGCACCTTTTATTCCTGGTGGCCCCTGAAGATCAGAAAAAAAGGAGGGAAAACAATTACTGTACAGCAAAAGCAAAGGTGTTGTAATTTCCTGGTTAGTGCCAGATGTTATTTTATTATTTGCATTCCTCCAACTCCATATGGATTCCCAAGAATCTGCAAAGTCCACGTGCAATAAAACCATGGATTCCTGGATGAAACTATCCCATGGAAGCTCTTTGATCACCACTCTACCCCCATCTTATTCCATGAGCGTTATTTTTTTGCCCTAAAATTGCCCAAATGATTGGGGTCAGCTATCCTGTGCATCAAGTAACTGGCATGCAGTGAAGGATGGTTACCATTCATTCATTCATTCATTCATTCGATTTCTACAGCTGCCTATTTCTGTCAATGACTCTGTGTGGCTCACAATTCCAAAAAAATATATAACAATCAAAATATTAAAAATACCTTCAAACAATAAAAACAATAGTCACATCCAAAATAAATATACATAGCAGCTGAGATACTTGACCAATTAGCAATATAGCTAGGAAAAGAGAGCCTTAACATATTCAGCATCCTAGTCTCAGGGGCATAGCCAGGTTTTTAGAGCTTTATGAAAGGCCTATAGGGTTGGGGCCATTCAAATCTCTGAAGAGAGATTGTTCCATAGAATGAGGCCACTCCAGGAAAAGCTTATATTCTAGACCCTGCCAGCTGACAATCTTTGGCTGATGAGATCTGCAGCACGCAATGCCCATTCTGCTAGATCTGGTTGGATGGGTTGAGAGTCTTGGGAAAAGGTGATCTCCATGTGGTCAAGGTGCCCACTGGGTTGATACTTACTGGATTTCCTGGTAAACCTTTCTGCCCAGGTTCTCCCTGCGAAAAGCACAGATAAACATTTGGGGTTGATGCTAATGGTAATGCATGGTTGAAGCAATCTGTACCACAGGTTAAAAAGGCAGTTACTCACTTCAGGCCCTTGGATTCCTATGCCAGGGGTACCTGGTTCTCCCTAAAAAGTTGCAAAGGTTGTGTTAGTGGAAACATGAAACTTAGTGAAAAACTTTCATTGCACAACTCTTGAGAAGAATTAGCTTAATGTTTTTCCTCCCTGTTTTCCTCCTCCAAGAAATCAGAATCAATGTCTTAACCCATCCTATGTAGGACCTCTGATCACCCCTTACCTCCATCCTGTTCCATAAGCTTTATTTATTTGCCCAAAAATTGATATGGAGCTCATAGTAGCTACTTAACCATAGCCATTCTTTTTTTTTTTTTTTTTTTTGGCCAGTCTCTTCTACCACCCCAGGAAAGCTAAAACTGGATGCCCGAGAAAGGGTCTTTGAATAAATACAACCCTGATTGATACTCACCTGCAACCCCTTCAAACCAGGAGGCCCCTGAATACCCCGAAGTCCTGGTTTTCCCTGAAAATTGGAGGTGGAACAAAGAATTAGCCCAACACATTGTAAACTTTACAACTCTTCCCTTCTGAAGGCATCGTCGACAAAACTCAAGAGAAAAGTCTTCTATCTTTGACAACAGTCTATTCCAGATATACTGGATCACTTCCTATAATTCCCAGCCTGTATGGCGAATTACTTCTGTATGTACTGATAGAAGAAAAGATTTGTATTTTAGGGTTGAACTGTGAGGTCCTTGATGCTCTCCAAGTTTGGTGGTTTTCCATTTCATTACCAAACTAAGCAACTCCATCCATGGTGATGATGATGTTACCTAGTTTGATAATGAAATGTCTATAAAAAAGCAACTAAGTTCAGAGAGCACACATCTGTATGGCTGAGAAGATTGCTTTATCAAAGGGATGGAAATCTGAAGCGCTCCAGATGTTGGTTTGTAAAATCCTCATATTCCTAGCTGATAATGAGGGTTGTCAGGAGTTGTAGCTATAGTTGCAAGTTCCCCATCCCTGCTTGACTAGCATCCAACTGATAGATAATTCTGGGGGAGAAAACTGAGGACCCTACAGTTGATTTGGCAAAACAGAAAAAAAAAATATGTTTATTTACCCTGGAAAGGATGAACCACAGTGAATAGTTATATAAAGCCTTAAGTCTTTACACCTCTAAATTTTGGAAGGGGTTATTCGGGTAATCAAGATGAATCTTACACTTCAAGTAAGAAGCCAAATTAAAGCATTATCAGCAGATGGCTCCTCAGTCTCTACGCGAGTATATCTACTGCAGAGAAATTCACCTCATTTAGTAATTGGTTCCAGTTTCACCACATTTCTCTACCTGCCTTTCCACAAACCCATTATTCTTTGTCTTGAACTCTGGGATGAGAAAGAACAGCCTTAGCTTCCTTTGTATGATATCCTCAGGTATTTAGACTGCTCTAATATAATCTTCAATCTTCTGAAGGCCAAAATAGGCCCAAATACTTTCATTTCTCTTCACCCTTTTAAACTTTATTTCACAATCCGGAGGGTAGAAATGCATTTCTTCTTTTAAAGTAAAATCAACATGGAGATTTTGAGCAAGCTGGAATCTGAATCCCAGTGGGAAATCCTAGGCTGCTTCTGTGCATGAATGAAATTACAAAATACACAGAAAATTAGAGGGGGTGTGTGTCAACCTTGCTGGCATGAATAAGGGCACCTCTCTCAAATTAAGGTTAAAGATCAATATATGTGAGAATATAACTAAAGTGCTATTGCTGTGTTATCCTCCAAATCATCAGATATATTCTCAGCTTAATAAGATTACAGCTTGGTTTATTTTGTAGCCTTAATAAAAAAAAAACTCACGCAGATAGATTTTCTTTTGTTAATCAACGTCTGGGAACATTAATGATTTGACATTCATTGTTTCGCAATGGTCACCTTTTATTCAAACAAGCTGCTTGATGGAGGTGTTCTGATATGTAAATCAAATCAGTTAATTAAAGGAATAAAAACCAGCAGTTAACACGGTGCCTTCAAATAAACTTGATTGGAACCAGCAGATGAGAGGAAATGTATCTTCATGCAATGCGTAATTAACTGATGAAAGTCATTTCTGTACGCTCTGGCAATGGCTCATCTTAAGGGATTAGAAAGATTCGGGGAAAAAGAATTCTGGCAATAGCTATTAGCCATGAGAGCGATAGGATACTCTTCCCCAATTTGATGGCTTCCTGATTACAAAGCCCATAATCCCTAGACAACCTACTCAAGGCCACGTGGAGTGAGAACCATGGGAGTCTGCAATCTGACATCAAAGGAAATTCAATTACTGGAAAACTGAACCCAGCCCTGGATGAGCTGGCAAGTTAATCTAAAGCATCAAGGCATTTCTAAAGATCCATTGACTAGCTAACAAGTTCAGTTCCAAAAATACAGAGTGACATGGGTTGCTAAAGATGCAGGCTGAAATGTTCTGCCTTTTTTATACAAATAACTGGGAAGAACAGGAAGGAGTCTTGGCTATATCAGACCAAGTTCTCAATTTAAAAAATTTGTTCTAATTTGGTTTGGTGGCGAAGGCACCAGGCTAGAAACCAGGAGACAGTGAGTTCTACGGTAGTCCTGTTTTAGGCATAAACGTCATTTACCTGTTATGGGGAAAGTAGGAGGAAGAGGAAAGAATATTGGGTGTATTTGTCACCTTGAGTTATTTATAAACAATAACAAAGGCAGGGTAAACATAAATAGTAAGAAAATAAACTCATAACTGATCACAGGTTGTATTGGTTAGAAAGTTACTTACAGGTATGCCTGGCTGACTCACACCTGGAAGACCAGGATCCCCTTTTTTACCAGGTGGGCCTGGGATACCAACTACTCCAGAATCTGTGTTGATCATGGGACATGACTCACAAGCATCTCCCTGTAGGATGAGAGAAGGCAGGTGAGAAACAACACACAGTGATGTCAGTTCCAAGTTTGATACAAATACTGTGTTATTTCTTCATACAACATGTCACACAGCCATTGGTGACAGAAAGTTGCAGAACTGGAATGGAAGATGTGAGACTCTTCACTGGTCATGCTCTCCACATCCACAACAGTGTGGCCAAAAAGCTTTGCACAAGCTTTGTGCAAACAGATTGTTTAAATAACTTTTGAAGAAGGTTTACAGAAAGAGGAATGAGCCACCAGAGGCTCATAGACATCCTTGAACCTACTTTTCTATAACCTCCCCATGTCATCTGAATAAGGTGCAAATAACTGGTAGCAGGGGAATCCGCTATTCTGTGGAAATATATGAAATCGCAGTTTGTATCTTAAAAGATTCATGTAAGAGTAAAAATGCTTCTAGGGATTTTTTGGGGGGAGGGCGGGGGAGGGAAGCACCATTTAAGCAAATCTTCCTCAGTAGGTGTTGTGGTCCACCAGCAGCCTGCAGAGCTGGCAGCAGAGTCGGACAGTGGGGAGGAACATGGACCAGTCCAGGAGTCTGGGGAGGTCTCTGATGAGGGTCCTGCGTCTGATACAGAGATGGGGCCAGGGCCATCTGGGAGTTATGTGCTGACTCTGGAGCTTCCAGAATCTGACAGCAGTGAGGCAGAGGAACAGGGGGAGCCTGTTACCAGTGCATGTGTGCACAGAGCTGCCAGAAGGCAAGAATAGTGAAGACAAAAGGGGCGACTTGGGAGTAAGGCTTGGAGGTGATTGGCCCTCCCATAAGACATAAAGGAGGAGCAACTTTTCAGGAAGCAACTTTGTTCGTACTGGTCAGTTTGAAACTTGAAGCTCAATGTTGAATTTGTGCTCCGTTTGGTCTTATATAACTAACTGGCAATTTTGTCGTTGGCAGCATTTCAAGAAAGATAAAGGTGCATGCTTATCAGACTTATCCTGAAGGACTTTGGCAGACTTCTGTGGGACTAGTTACAAACTGTTTGAGAATCATTATGGGCTGTGAATTACTATAATTCACAGCCGTTGAAATAAAATAAAAGATTTTTGAGACTAACTTGTGTTTGTTAATATCTCAGGAAGCCTTGGTCAGAACAGTATGTCATATGTATTATACCTTGACTTTTTTTTTTTTTACCATAACTGTGACACCCTACCAACTCTATTTATTAATGACTGTGTTCCTATGGATTTACAAATGTGTTAAAATTATCCTTTCTACTTGCAGACAGCTGGTGAATGAGAAACAATTTAGTCGAGCTGAGCTTAATTAACATACATATTAGTATGTGTCCAAGCTATTTTTCTTACAAGTTCCGACTATTTCAAAAAAGCAGACTCTCACCTTTTCACCTTTCACCCCTGCTGGTCCTCTGATGCCAGGCTCCCCAGGAAGGCCATTTAAACCTGCTTCCCCAGGTGTGCCCATATCACCTGGGTTTCCTGCATCACCCTGGAAAGCACAGAAGATAGAAGGAGACAGAGAGATGAAAACACCTTTGAGAATGGCCTTCTCTCTTATTCGTCAGTCTTTGAAGAATCGGAACTATGCATGCATACACATACACACAACACACACACACGTGTAAGATATGAAAGAAAGTTCATCCTTCTAAACCAAAGTGAGTCTTCTGTAGACAGCAAAACATGCTGGATTCAGATGATCCAAATCTGGTGCTCAGTGTGGCTATGTTCATGCATCACACTCAAGTGAGTTCAGATGTAAATAGTTACAGTTGCACAACTCCCTAAGTGTGTGCTTCTGTATATGTTGTGTCTGTGATGCCATACAATATGACATCAGACCAGGGGTGGGATTCAAATTTTTTAACAACCAGTTCTGTAGACGTGGCTTAGTTGGTGGGCGTGATTTGGTGGTCATGTGACTGGGTGGGCGTGGCTTGGTGGTCATGTTATTGGCTGGGTGTGGCCAACTCAATATCACTCACATTGAGGCACGCATCTCCTCGCCTGGCCTCTCATGACTGTGGGGATGCTGCAACAGTTGTAAGTGTGAAAAATGGTCATAAGTCACTTTTTTCAGTGCCATTGTAACTTTGAATGGTCACTCCACACAAGCAAAGTACCAGCAAAGGAGGGGAAAAAACTCAAAAGAAGTTCCTGAGACAGGAAGTCTAGTCCTGCCAAGAATGTAATAAGGGTTAACAGAGAGGCAGTTTCTGTAAGCAACACCAGAATGTTTCCTTCCTGCCTTCCTTACAGGATTAGGCCAGTAATTTCTTCTAACAACCGGTTCTCCGAACTGCTTAGAATGTTAACAACCGGTTCTAGCGAATAGGTGCGAACTGATAGAATCCCACCCCTGCATCAGACTATACCCAGAGCAATGTGTTACAAGGGCCAGAGCAGGCCTTCTGTAGCATGGCCATAGAACTGATACTAATGTTGTAACAAATGTCAGATATGAGCCTTCCCTTAGCTACGAAATAAGAGCAATTGGTTCAATTATTTTGCAGGGCTGTTGTAAAGGAAAGAGGGGAATGAATCATGTGCACTGACTAGTACTTACTACAATGGTGAGGAATGTTGGCATTATAGGATAACAACATCTAGAAGGCCAACAACTTTTGCCTCACTAATTATAAGAAAGTGAGAATATTTGATGTGGCCACACCCAGCAAACTGGTTGTTAACATAAGTGCAGGCCACCTCTCATTGTAAGTGTGAAAAATAGTCATGTTCCTTTTTTCAGTGCTGTTGTAAGTTTGAATGGTCATTAAGTGAACTATTTTAAGTTGAGGACTACCTGTACCATGCTGATATGATATCAATCGTATCTTGGGAAGAACATGATGTGAACGAAGGCCAACACTAGCTAAGGATTTCCGGCAGCTGTGATTTCACATTTTTTGTGTATATAATAATAATAATAATGGTGAGTGCCTGGTGTGCTTTAATCAGTAAGGTTACAGCTCTATGATGGGTGCCAGTTAACACAATGCCAAGTCCTCTCACCACAATTGTACATATTGTTTCTCCTAAATTCTACGAAACCTTTCTAATTCCTAATGCTAATTCCAGGATCCCAGGGCAAGGTTGCCAGGCAACCCTCAGGCTTTCGGGTGATGCTGGCTGGAAGAGGAAAGGTGTGCGGGTGCACAGGCCAAGATGGCCTGCTTTGTAAGGGTTGCTAGGCAACTGTGGTTCTAGTTCTTGAGTCTTGGGGCCTGTGTGCCTTTCAGAACTGCATAAAAAGGAATTTCCAGAATTAAATTATTTCTCAGTTCTGAAGAACAAGCTGCTTCTGCTGAAATTATTTTATCTATATTCTTGAACGATGCAAGAAACATTTTTTTTTCTCTTCATTTTGCTCTGGCCTAACATGCATACATGCATTTGAACCCATCTACAGGTAGTCCTCGACTACCTGTAACATATATATATTTGCACCCATACAGGTAGTCCTCAATTTACAACCACAATTGGGGCCCGAATGTAGATTGTTAAGAAAAATGGTCAATAAGTGAGCCAAATCTGATTTTGCCATTTTTTATGACACACACTTGTTTAAGTGGCCATTAAGTGAATTGTAGGTACTTAAGTGAATCCACATTTCCCCCATTGACTTTGCAGGTTGGAAGTTAGCTGGGAGGGTCACAAATAATGCTCATGTGACACCAGGACACTGCAACTCTCTTATTTTTTATTTTTTTATTGTATAAAATACAAAAGGAAAGGAAAGAAAATAGGAAATTAAGGGGGGAAAGGGAACGGGGAAGAGGGGGTGTGAGATACAAGGGGGAAGAGAAAAAGAAAGAAAAGGGAGCATTGACTTCCAACTCTTCCTAGCACAGTACAAGATAAACACACTTGAAACTCAACTTTTTGCTTTTATATATTAATATATAACTAGGCATTTTTATAACTCCAATTTTTTCTAATCAACGAAACAAAAATCGAAGTTTCATTTTTTTTTCTTCACAAGCACTAATTCCAGAAATGATATCCAAATAAGACCATACCTTCCTCTTTAAAGAAAGTATCCAATTTAAGGACACTTCAAGTGTCATAAATACATGCCGATGGCCTGAATTTTGATCACATGACCACAGGTATGCTGTGAGGGTTGTAACTATGAGGACTGGTTGTAAGTCACTTCTTCAGCACCACAGTAACTTTGAACAGTCAATAAATGAATGATGTATAGATAATTTACCTGTACAGATAATTTCCCTGTATAGGTAAATTACAGTGACCATCCATCCTTTATTATAAAGGGCCATTCTTTATTTTTTAAAAAACCTGTCCTTTAGATTTATTTAATTTAATTGTTTATTTTCTCGGTTTGGCCCTTGCATTTCCTTTCTGTAGCAAATAAATGTACGTGTGTATATCTCCTTATAAATCTCTTTCAGATTTGCCCCCTTTTCTGGTTTGTCCTTTATTTTCCCCAAAATTAGGGTCACTATAAAGTGAATGCATCACAAGGATTGCTGATTTTTGAATAAGAAAAGGTTGTGTGAACTGCTGTTTCCAGGCTTTGTTTGATGTGTGAACCAGCCCATTGTACCATATTCAGTAGACCAGGATGAATAAAACCTTGGTTTGGTGTAACTAGGTGAATCTGTCTAACTGCATCTCCCTCAAACTTCCTGTTGTAGCCATGGCACATCTGGTGGGCATTGGTCCCTGCTGGTGATAGGATAAAGGCAGACCCATTTCCATCTTTACTTACCCTGCAGCGTTCCAAGTGCTCAGTTTTAAAAGATGCAGTACATGTGGAACAATATTATTCTTATAAAGATTGAGGAAATAATCTGTTTTCCATTAATAAGGAATGCACGAATGGACTCATTTTCTGCCAGGGCTTATTTAAAAAGGGTTTAATCAGAATAATAAAACAGACTCCACTGAAGGAGCAATTTTCTACTCACATCATATTGTAGATCTGGGTGGTGGTTAAGAAATGGAATGAATAACAGAATAATAAAGCTGGCAAACAAAGGAAATATATCTGCGGATATTTCCAGTGTTTTTTCTGTAGCTTTTATAACTTGATTGCATTACAAATTATTGCAGTTTTCTTCCACAACTAGTTCATGTCAATATATAATTTATGCATTTTTGCTATGATCCAGCCTTAATAATGCAAATGAATGCACTTGCTTTGCAACACATCAGTGTTTTGGGAAACAAATTATGTTCCTAGCCACAGTCAGGAGCTCATCCTGTTTACTTTTGGGCTGAAAAACCAAAGCTTTTCCTTACCTTCTGCCCTTTTAGTCCAGCTTCTCCGGGTATTCCCTAAAGCAGAGAAAAAAAAATATGAACTCAATAGTTTTCCACCCAGACTGATTGATTGCAACTACCTTCTGGAAGCCGGAAATTCCTTTTATAGAGGTTTGGCAGGCAATCTAATAAGAAAGCTGTTTACAGTATCTTCCGCAATCATGTTCTGCATGGAACAATGGCATCAGCTGTCAAATCATAGCAAGATGCACTGAGGAGTCTTTGGTGCTCTCTAAGCTTGGTGGTTTTCTTGCAGATGTTTCATTATCCAACTAGATAACCTTATTGGCACTCCCTTTTAACTCTGATGTTACCTAGTTGGGTAGTGAAACATCTGCAAAAAACCCACCAAGCTCATAGAGCATCAACAACCCCACAGTTCATCCCTGAACTACAAATATTCTGTTCTATTAGTAAAACATACTGTTTCATGTGCTCCACATTTCTGACTGAAAACTGTTTTCATTAATAGTCAACCAATGGTGGCCAAATCTGGGTGATACACTGATCAATTACACCAATGGGATTTCCCACCATGTTTTGGTACTCTTTGGGCTAATTTGCATAAGCAGTTTGAACAGCCCAATGATCATTTCCCAAGGGTTGAAACACACAGATATTGTTATCCTCCACCTCCCCTCAGTCTAACAAAATGGCCCACCCATCTTTTCCAGCAACACCGCAAACATAGCAGTCTCCTAGTTAGGCCAGCTCATAGAAAGTAAGGAAAATGGCTAGATGGAGATATGCAAAGCTCCATTGGCAAGGGGTAAATATTTTCTGAGTTCAGATAAACTTTTAAATCTGGCTCAGACAGAATGCTCTCCAATTCACTGAAAGAGCATGAAGTACAATCCAAGGAGACTTGCAACATTTGGTTATCTTTGCCAATCTCAATTAAAGCAGTTTTAGCCTTCTTGCAGAGTTGATTTCTTGGTAAGGTCAGCAGTTCAAGTGGTGTTGCCTGCTCTGCTGGAATTCTTTGTAACCGAATTCCTTTATATGGGCTACTGTGGCAGAACCCTCCTGTCCCCATCACTGGTCACTGCTTTCCAAGCTATTTTGTCTTGACTTGCTCTATTGCATACCCTCTTCAAAAGAGACCTTCACTGGTGAATCCTTTTTTAAAGAAATGCATTGGCAAAATGAATTAAATGTGTCCCTTTTTTCTTTTACAAATGGGGGTATGTTGATCCTTCCTTCTTTCCTCCCTCCCTCCCTCCCTTTGTTTCCTTCCTTCCCTCCCTCTCTCCTTCCCTTCCCAGTGAATTTGGCAACAATTCTGCCAGTTTCCCCTTCTAGCCTACCTGAAGGGTACAATAATGCTCCTACTTCCCCCCCTTTTTTCACCAATCTACCAATGGATACACCTGACTGATAATCCACATGGGGAGTCACCAGGTTGATGTAAAAGACATGCAGTGGGAGCCACAAGTTCTTCAGAACCCTCCAATGAAAGGGGAAGTGATTGAACTTGCTTTCTTGTGATGATGGAGTAAAGAAGCAAGGAGATACACAAACTGAGCTTAAGCAAGTGCAGTCTGGACAGAACCCCAGGCTGTCACTGCTGCCAAAGGAGACAAAAGGGTTGAAATGCAGAAAGGGATTTTGTAAGCCAACTGTCTATGGAGATCCTCAATCATTCAGGTCACGGTTGTCCCAAAGGTGCTTTTCAAATGGCAACTGGGCTTTTTGCGATTTTTTCCCCTTGAAAACATGTCACTTCTCATCCAAGAAGCTGCTTCAGTTCAGCTTCTTCAGATCAACTGAAGAAGCTTCTTGGGTGAGAAGTGAAATGTTTTCAAGGAAAACCCCCCAAAAAGTTCACTTGCCTTTTGAAAAACACTTTTGTAAGCCAACTCTATTTTGAGCAAGTTTATGTATTCATGATATTGAACTAAAATAAAATGTAGACACCTTTCAACTTAAATACAATCCTCTTTTATTGATAGAGTCATCTTATTGGTGCGATGTATGTATACATTTAACAAATAAACAAATAGATAATGAATACATAGATATCACTACATCTCTGCTGCAGCTCAATTGCAAAGTAAATGAATGCTATGTCAGGAAAAGGTGGTTTCTATGTCAGGAAATGGTGGTTTCCTTCCACATCTAGGTACCATCTTCCAGCAAGTGCTATTAGGAGAACAGCTCCCCTTTCTCCTCCCCTCAAATGAGATATAATGAGGGTCCACTCACTTGTTTTCCCGGAAGTCCAATCCCAGGGAGACCCAGTTCACCCTTTTCACCCTGAGGCCCAGGAACACTGATGGTAACCTTTCCACCTTCTAGAGAAGAACAGGACGTGCACGATTCTCCCTGAGAAAAGGTGGTGGGATAAGAGAAAAGACTTGTCAAAATCCATAGCTCTCTTACGGGAAGAGGTGAGTCATGCTTGTTTCATTTCTTGTTATCAAGTTGCTCACCTTCTCGCCTTTGACTCCTGGACCTCCAGTGTCCCCTTTATTTCCCCGGATTCCCTGAAAACAGAGAAGAAATTAAGATGCAATTAAGAAGGAAGTGGAAAAGGGGAAAAGCCAGAGGGTTCTTTTAATCTTGTTGGCACTGTAGTTTAGATAGATAATGAAACCAATCATTAAAGTTAATTGTCCAGAGTTAGAATGTATTGAACAGCTCTCCGAGCTCCTGTGTGTGAGTGTCTGGGTTGTAACATCTGGAACAGAATTTCTGAGGAGGAAAATAATCCCACAGAGAGCCTAACTGTATGCAATTCATTCATAAGAATATAGAATTACTATTCTTTGCTACAACAATCTCTCCTTCTACACTCATTTGAAAATGCATTCCCCTTTCCTTGGTTATTAATTTTTTGTTATTGTTAGATATTTTTATCCCACTTTTATTATTTTATAAATAATTGAAGGTGACAAACATATCTATTCCTCCTCCTCTTTTTCTGAAAACAACAAATATGAGATGAGTTGAACTGAGACAGAGGGATTGGCCCAAGGTCACCCAGCTGTCTTTCATACCTATGTCAAGACTAGAACTTACAGTCCTGGTGATTGGTCCAAAGTCAACCATTTAACTTTCATGCCTAAAGTAGAATCAGGACTCAGAGTCTCTGGTGATTGATCCAAATTCACCCAGCTTTCATGCCTACGGTAGGACTAGAACTAGAACTCACCATCTCCTGGCTTCTAGCATGGTGCCTTCACCACTAGACCAAACTAGCCAGTACCTGGAAGGTGATCTGAAACACTGATTTTTTTGAGAACTCGGAAATGGTGACATTTTATTTCACTGTCATTTCTCACAATTCATATGGCTTTCGTTCACTTTCACAACATCTTCACACTATTCAGACCACAGAAGGTGATTCTGGAGAGAACCTACTCACAGGTTTGCCCATAGGTCCGAAAAGTCCAGCATCTCCCTAGGGAATAGATAAACACAGGTGGGTTACTGAAAGAAGAAAATGGGCCATAATGGAATTTCTGAGATAAAAACAGCCTATTGATCAAAGGATTAACCTGGGAAATGGCAGTGGAATAAATGAAAGCATAAATCATAGCTCAGGGTGCAACATTTCTCATTCCAAGCAAACAATAATATGGTATTAAGCACTATTGGCAGTTCAAAGTTGGTACACTGAATTGATTTTGATGCTCACATAAAGAATCTGAAAAACTGTCATTGAGTGACATTAAACAGCCTCAATGATGATTATAAGTTCCCAGCAAACCCTGCAGATTTCTATGGAAGATCATTAGGTTAAACCTGCAAATACGTAGCCTTCACCAAGACAGGAAGCTTATATGTTCATGCATTGTGAACATGCCACTGGAATCTCTGCCTTGTAAAAGAAGATAAGGGATTCAGGTTTATGAGCCTAAATCTAAGACTGTAGATTTATGTGTTCTTTGAATAACTCAGTAATAATCCAAGCAAGTAAAAACAGGGCGGATAATGAAGGAAAAGACAGAACAGTATACGCATATTATGCAAGCACGGAGATACGCATGTAAACAGTTACAGTTTCATTAAACTCTGAATGAAGAAACACCTGAAACTGAATTATACCTGCTGAACATTTTACCTTTTCTCCTTTTAATCCAGCCATTCCAGGAGGGCCAGTTTTGCCCTGTGGGGTGGGAAGAACAGCGGGCAACTTTAGTGAGGAAACTATTAATATGGCACTTATCAAGATAATTTATCAAAAGTAAAAGTGGTCTTCAACCTGCAACTACAGTCGGGACCGGAATTACTGTTACTAAGGTGGTTGTTAAATAAGTCATGCCTGATTTTTTTTTTTTTTTTTGCAACAGTTGTTGAATGAATTGTTGCAGTTGTTAAATTAATCAGGAGGTCATTCAGGAAATCTGGCTACCCTCACAGACTCTGTTTGTCAAAAACCATCTGGGAAAGTTACAAAGGACCCTATGAGGCCGGGATAGTCCAACTGTCACAAATGCATACCAGTTGCCAAGCAACCGAATTATGATCATGTGGCCATGGGGATGCTGCCACAGTCATTAAATTTATGAGCACTGGTCATAAACCCCTTGTTTCAATGTCATTTAACTGCAAATGGTCACTAAACAAAAGGTTGTAACTTGAGGACTACCTGTAATATATCCAGAGAAAAAGTATTCTTTGTAACAATATAGAAATGGTTTGCCACTGTATTTGTGACTTTTTCCATTTTTCAATCTAGCCTACGATCCTGGCAAGATTTCAAGACCAGCTAATGTCAACTACTGTAGAGAGCAACAGCACTCAGACTTATATACCACTTCACAGTGCTTTACAGCCCTCTCTAAACTTTTTATAGAGTCAGCCTATTGCCCCCCCCCCCAGCAAACTAAACCATTATTTTACTGACCTGGGAAGGATGGAAGGCTGAGTCAACCTTGAGCTGGTGAGGATCGAAATGCCAAACTGCTGACAGCCAGCAGTCAGCAGAATTAGACTGCAATACTGCATTCTAACCACTGAGCCACCACGGCTCATACGACACTGTCACGAATGAAGGCAAATATATGTGTCCCAGAATAATGTTACAGGATCCAATCTGGGTCAGTGACTGGGACTATAGGGTTTAGTCAGAATGATACATTCTGGTGATAAAGATGTTCCCTGAGGATGGGCTCCAGAATGAGTCCAAAAGCTTGGAAGACTAAAACTCTAGTCCTGGTAACCAACCCAGAATGGATCTTAGATGCTGTCAATTAATTAATTGGATGGCCCGTTTAAATAGTTTAAAACAGTTAAACTTTCTTGAATAATGCTCCCCCTCCCCCCGATGACCCATCAACCAAACCTTGATATTAATGTACAGTATTTTGTGCTCTTCAATATCATCAGCCAACTTTGTAGAAGAAGGCTGAGGCAATGAGCAAAAAGCGGCTCAGAAGATGATATGAACATCATGGACTTTTCCATTTACAGAGAATGTTCAGGGCATTGCATTCTATCAACGAGGACCAGAAACCCTCCTTCACATTCTCCTTATTGCTCTTCATCCCTTCTACCTGCCAGAGACTTAAAGTCATAAAAAAGGAGTTTGTACATACGGGAAGTCCAATTGAATTGCTTCCTACAGAACTATTTTTCCCACGAAGTTGTGATTCAAAACTGATGCATGACAAACAGGGTTCACCCTAAAAAGACAGAGAGCAAAAAGCCAAGATTTAGATAGGACCAGTTCAGTTCTGCTGGCTGTTAAGTCAGTAAAGCTTCCACCAAAGATGGTGTCAAAGGAGGTCAGGAGCAGACCAAGTTAGTGTCTAGTAAATAGACTTAATCTAAGGAATACAGAATACAGAATAACTGAGTTTGAAAGGACGAGTTTGGAAGTCTTCTTATCCAACCTCCTGCCTAAGCAAGAGACCCTATATTATTCTGAGCAGATGGATGTCCAATCTCTTCTTAAAAACCTCCAGGGATGAACCATCCACAACTTCTGAAGGCAAGACGTTCAACAACACTGATTAATTGTTCTCACTGGCAGGAAATTTCTCCTTAGTTCTAGGTTAGATCTCTCTTTGATAAGTCTCCATCCATTACTTCTTTTTCTGTCTCAATGTTTCGGGGAATAGGTTGTCTCCCTCTTTTTTGTGACAGCATTTCAAATACCGGAAGACAGCTATCATGTCACCCCTAGTCCTTCTCTTCCTTAGACTAGACCTACCCAGTTCCTGCAACCCTTCATCATATGTTTCAGCCTCCAGCCCTCTAAATCATCTTTGTTGCTGTTCTTTGTACTCTTTCCAGAGTCCCAACACCCTTTTTTGTATCGTGGTGACCAAAACTGGATGCAGTATTCCAAGTGTCGTCTTACCAAGGCACTATATAGTGTATACTATACGTAAATGGGAAAAGAGATCAATCTCAGTTTCAGAGCTATTATGATTATTTGTTTTACACATGCTTAGTGGTCTGTAGCAGATTTGTGAGTAAAATCGGCAAAAGAGAGGAATTTACCAAGAGGAGAAGGAGGCAGAGAAAACATCATAGCATTGATTCGTTGAATAGGATCTGAAGCCAGGAAGTCAGCAAGGGGGGGGGGGGGCAGCCTAAAATTAAAGAGAAAATAGGCCCAAGGAGAGATAAGAAAGGGATTATCCAGAGAAATTGCCAATTACCTTTTCTCCTTTAATGCCATTAATCCCAGGGTCCCCCTAAAAGAAAAAAGAAAAAAAAAACAAGAAATGGAAATTGGGAGTAGAAAAAATGAACAACCCTGCCTCCAGCTGAGAGTTGTTCACCATGGCAAGGCTGCTGCATCTGGGAATCCAGACAGTAAATACAGTTGACAGAAGTCTGAAAATGGTTCCAAACAGCTGTTATGTACACAGTGACAGTTCTTCCAAGCCCTTCCACCTGGTGACTTAGAAGACAGGGGGCTGAATGGATTGGTGCCCAATTGGGCATTTGTCAGTAAAAGTTCCAGAACCGGTTCAATGCTTAACTTCAGAGGTGACTCATGTCTGTCATACCATAGTCAGCATGAGTGGAATTGGATGTAACCAAGCAAAGACACTCACCAATTTTGGAAGTGTGCTGGAATCAGGCTGCAATGATTGCCTGCTTAATGGCCCTTGTGGTTACTTTTTACTTTCCTTTCTGCCCCTTATATTTCTGGGTCCTGCTGGTGTGAGCAAGTCAGAAATCTCTTCTTCCCAGCTAAGGGATCTCAGAAAGAGCACAAAGGAAGTCTTAAACTAAGACTGGGAAAAGGTGCTCTTTTTTCCACCTCAACTTTGCAAATTTCTTAAGCCCAGCTTGCAAATATGAAATGCACTTTTTTAAAAAAAAAAAAATACAAGAATATGGGTGTATTTTGGTAAATCTCAAAGTTGTACATCTGGACCTGCAGTTTTACTCAAAACAGAAAAGTTTTCACAAGTATTTTACATGCAAAGAAACAACTTAAGAAACTTGGTTTTATGTTGAGCTTGGGGATGTGTGTGTGTGTGAGAGAGAGAGAGAGAGAGAGAGAGAAAGAAAGACCATCTCCTTCTTGTGTTCATAGTTTGGATGATGCCCAACTGCTGCATGGTTTACTATAGTGTGCATTTTATCTATTTCATTGTAAACTACCTGGAATCACAGCTATCAACATCGAGTAAATAAACACTTAACCCAGATAGCATTTGCCATACCTCTCCATGCAGTTCTATTCTGCACACTCATCTTGTTTCTCTCATATCCATCCACTGCTTTGTGCATTTCCTTTGTTCTTTAAAGCTCTCACTCCTCTTTCTGAAGATCTCATCAATTCCATTCAACCACGACTTTCCTTGTTCTTCTCCCTCAACCCATTTCCCCCCGTTTGCATACTTGTTGTGCAATTTGATACAGTATTACTTTACTTTCTGTTTTTAGCCAAGCCGCTGAAATGCACTTCTTCCTTATAGGTGATACATACACCTTCCTTACTTCTTCATTCTTGTTTTATCATCGCACACACTTAACCATGCTGTCCCATTGCATTCAGCAGTTTCCTATGTGTTTTCTGACATATTCAGTATTAACTTCCATGCACCTATGGTGGCAGAAACATGGTCTAACGTATGGCCCTTTTGGCTTCTTTTGATGACAACCTATTACCTACTGGTACTAACTTTCTACCAAGTAATTGAATATCTTAACTTCCCTATCTTTAATAAGAATTTCACTGAAGTGCACCAATTAATCAATTTTCAATATTTTTTCCTTTGATATACACTATGATTTATAATTCTTACTCCATTTTCCCTGTGAAACACAACTAAGATGGTCATTGAAACATTCATTTTTAGAAGTGTTTCTTATTGCTACTAATGTTTGCTGCACAACATTTGGGCTTTCAGCCAAGAATGTTATCAGCTACATTCATATCCCTAACCTGTCAACTCATGAAACATTCCTATGCCTGTTTTACTAGTTGCCATAAATAAATAAATAAAAGGGGGGGGGGAGGAAGGAAATCTGGAAGAGCAATGCAGCAGTTTGAAAGCAAAAGTACATTCCAACTGTTATCTTTAAAAGATTGTAACTAAAATACCAGAGCTTTTGGTCTCAAATATATTTAATTGGAGAACGTGAATGATGACACCCAGCCCATGGACGTGCTCAATTGGAGAATCTGGCTTATGAGACACCTGGGGGGAGTGGGGGGAAACAAGGTCACAGGGGACTGTAAATTACGTAGGGTAGAATTTGCTTCATACAGGGCAGGGCCAGTATGTTGCCTCTAATGAATCCTTTGAAGTTTTTTGAAGTTTGGCTCAAGAATCCTGGTTTAATTAGGGCAATTGCTGGAATCCTGACATAATCATTATACAGATAAAGAGGTAAAAGTTTCCTGTGTCCAGTTGTGTCTGACTCTAGGGAATGGTGCTCATCTCTGTTTCTTGTCTGGGGCAGCAATGTTGTCTGAAGACATTTCTGTTATCGTGTGGCCAACATGATTATATGCTAGAATATAATAGAAGAGAATAGAGATGAAAGGGACCTTGGAGGTCTTCTAGTCCAGCCCCCTGCTTGAGCAGAAACACCTATACCATTTTAGATAAATGACTGTCTACTCTCTTCTTAAAAACTTCCAGTGTTGGTGTGCCCACAATTTCTGGAGGCAAGCTGTTCCACTGGTTAATTGTCCTCACAGTTAGGATGTTTCTCCTTAATTCCAAGTTGCTTCTCTCTTTGATTTGCTGAAGGCACACAAAATGCTGTTACTTTCCCACCAGTGGACTCATTTATCTACTCGTATTTGCCTGCTTTCAAAGAGCAGTGCGGTGGCTTAATGGTAAAGATGTTTGTCTCCAATTCAGAAGGTTGAAGTTCAGTCCTAGGTAGCAACAGATATTTCTCTCCTAGGGCGCAAAGAAAAAAAAAAGTATCTGCTGCAAACTCCATGTGATGTCAGTAAACCCTCAGCTCCATCCAGTTGCCCCAACTCTACCCTGAATTAAGGGATTACAGGACTGAAAAAGGGAGTTATTATTACATGTATATGCCACCTATCCTACTATCAAGCAACTCTCACATGCCTTCTCTAAATCAAAATATTTTCTTTCTCCTTTGCTTCTTAAGGACCTACTGAAGAGTAAAATTCTGATCTGTGCTCTCCCTGCTTACTGTAAAGCCATGGTGCACTTTCCAAATTGTCATTTTTGATACTTTTTCAGTCAAAATTCTACCAAATGGTTTCCCAGATACACCTAATAAATTTAATTCCCCTGTAATATTTGCATTTGTCCTTGTGATCTTTTCCTTTGTATAGGCCGTAATGACAGCACAGCTCCAATCATCAGACATAAATGCATTCTGTACACATAGAGTAAGCAGAACACACAGCATCCAAATTTCAGTGGTTCTCCAATAATTCCATATACTCCTTAGCCTTGGCCTTTTTTCAACACCCACACAACACACAGGTTTTCGTTTTTCAGCTCTTGTTACTTAGATAATAAAGTTGAACAAGTATTTATTTCAGTTCCCCTCTTCCATTTACTACTCTCTAAAATATTCCTTGCAACATTTTCTCATTTCACTTTTGAAGGAGAATTTCATTTCATCACTTTTATTTTTAATTCTATGCACTCTGCAGGAGATTCCTTGTTTAATCCTCTCTCCCTACTTGCAAAACAGTAGGCATTTTATTTCTATCAAAATCTCCCTGCGTTTTCTCAGGTTCTTTTAATCTTAACCATTCCTTATTTTTTCGGACTATATTTTTGCAAATTCTTCTCTTTCAATACATATTATTAAACATCGTTCGGCTTTCTATTTTGCAGCAATCATTCTCTTATATGCATTATTTTTCATCCACAACCTCTTTTCCTTCATCATGCCATTACTTTTTTTCCCACATATCCCATTATTGTAATTCCACACCTGCTGTGGCATCCGGAAACGTGATTGATTTTGTTTTGTGCAGCTTCCACAATTTCTTCCTTTGCATCTGAAACTTTTTTTGATACCTGATTTCTATTTTTTCTTCCTGCAATAATTTCTACTTTCACCCTTGTTATTTCTCTTTCTTCAATTTCCTTCCATGTTTAATTTTTCCCGAGAACCACTTTTTCTCACTGATAAATGATTTGTCTCACATTGAAAGCATCGCTTAGCTAATTGTCTCAGTCTTTCACCATGGACCATCAAATCAATCATGCTTTTAGATTTGTATTAATTTCTTTGCTTTCCAGCTGAGAAAGGCAATGTGCTGACTTCACAGTCTTGGTTCTTCACTGAAGGAAACAGCCTCTCTGCTCTTCTTTTGATTGTTCTATTAATTGTTAAGTCAAAAGCTCCCCTTGTTTCCCTTTGTTTAAACTAAGCTCTAGGTTGATGAATGACAAGACGGAGGTTAAAATTACAGAGAAAGCGGAAATGGCTTCTTACTGCTCTCCATCTAAGCAAGTACAGTTTCTTCAAACTGAAGAGCAATCAAAAACTGGATTTATTCCGGAACTTTATTTATTTATTGCAGAAATATGTAAGGCTGCTCTATGACAAGTCTGGACAGTGTCTAGTTGAAATAATCATACTGTACAATTAAAACTAACAAATAACACCCAACTGCCAGGAGACATGCAAGACCTGCCACTCATTCTAACTACAAAGGCTGGAGAATCAGCCAGATTTTCTATCCATGTTTTGAACATGGATAGTGGGGAGATCTTAGGGAAGATGGTGTTCCAGAAGGCAACAGAAAAGGCATACATCCTGGGGTGTCACTAGATACACAATTTAATTGGCAGGGCAAAGAGCACGCCAACTCTGCCTGATTGTACAGGTTGGGCAGAAGCCATGAAAAACAGGTGGCTCTTTGGATAACTGTGGTGAAATCTCTAGCTAGCGTAGAGGAGGAGGAGTAAAGAGGCTGACTAGCTTAGAGTCACATTGTGAGAAGAAACAACAGAGGCCAGACTTCTGAAGTCTTCATCTGCCTGTTCCCAAGAGAACAAAATTGGTCTGGCAAGATTTTTCTAAAGAGGAGAACAACTTCAAAGGAATTCCTTGTGCCTGAAAATAATCATGCATCAAGGCTTTTTATCTGGCCTAAGCCCAAAGACAATGCAACAAGATCCAAATTGAGTCCAGTTCTTTATTTCCTTACACCTAAAGAACCAAGCCTTACCAGATTAAAGCTATAACCTTATAACCTAATAGAGATGCCCTGGGAGATTCC